TGCACAGAGCTTCCGTGAACTTCGCCCAAGTTACCTGAGGACGGGTTTGTCGATACCACTGGAGCCAGAGAATAACGTCTCCTTCTAGGTGAATGGAGGCGATGGCGACGTGCTGGTGTGCAGGGGTTTCATGATACTCGAAGAATTTCTCTGCTCTGAAGATCCAAGGAATGGGATCTCCACCGGAATAGTTGGGAAATTTGATTTTAGTAACCTTTCCGGTGGGGTAACCCCCAGTTCCCTAGCTACCGGAAACAGAGGCGTCGGCCCCTGTTGGATGACTGGTTTCGCCGGATTGTTGTTGGGAGGCGAGGTTAGAGATGACCACCTTGAGATCTCTGAGTTCGTTCAGTACCTGGTGGAACCCAATCTCAAGTTGGTCGACTCTATCTTCCATGGTAGAGGATCTTGTCTGTGGCATAGCTGGTCTGCAACCTTGCTCTGATACCAACTTGGTGAGATACCGCTCACCTCGGAAGCCCCTTCGAGAGTGGCTTAACCTCCTGAAACAGAAATGGAGAAGAAGAAGAGAAGGGAAGGTAGGAAAAGGACTCAGTGAGAGAAAAACAGGGGATATTCATTCACCTTTCATTATAAGAGTATGGCCTTATATAGCTGGCCTACAGGTGTAATCATAGAGGGAATATCCTCTGATTTGCAGGATAACTAACTCTGGAAAATATCATGGAGGGAATATCTTCTGGCGGCAGGCGACAGAATAACCAACTCTGTGTGTAACTAATTCTGAGGCTCTGTTGCCTGTCCTTTCTGCCTCCTTGAGAACTGCTGATGGGTAGTGGCCTGCTCCACTCCCTTTGTTGGGTTCGGGGAAGGTATTTGGGTCCCAACACCCTCTTTTTTGGCAAGCTGAAAGGAGAAGAAGAAGAAAGTAATTCTTGCAAATCATTCGGGGGAGTCCACCTACACACAAACAAGGAAGAAAACTAATCCCAAATGCAAGATGCAAAAGGACAGGAGATTAATAAGTGGTGGCAATCTCACCGTTGGCTTTAAATAACACACACCATTGTGGAGGTAGGCACATGTTTGCTCTCCTTTGAAGCACGTCACAGGTATTAATTTTCCCCCAAAAAAACTTCCCAACAGAAGGCCCCAACTCTAGAAGGAATGGGATGGCACCAAATCTCTTTAACTGAAAAGGACAAACCGACAATGGGCAATGAATGAGACAATGCTTTGAAAAATGAAGCACAACAAAAGGAGCCAGCTAGGGAGAGGGTCTAAATTTTGTGATCTTGATTCAACTAGTCCACAAAAACCCCAGAAAGAATATTAATGAGTTCAGTCACCCCATTCAAATCACCTTTTCCCCAAACCCCTTCTAAATCCCAAATCCCAACCCAACCCTGAATCCGAATCAAAGTGGGAGAAAAATGAGGAAACAGGCTGATTCTTAAAATTTGAAAGAAAATATAGAGAAGGAAATTGATCTTTCAATGGAGAGTCCCCTACCCAAAGATGTTCTTATAATTTGACATGATTCCCATTACAAACCTTATACCCGATATAAAGAAGGAAAGCTAGCAACAATGCACTGGTATCTTTCTAAGGAGAAGCTCATGAATTCCTAGCCAATGTTCCAAAGTCCCATCCATTTGCTGAGAGCCCATGAATAATCTTCACAATCTTTACCCATAGCTTTGTCAGTGCAGTTCGAAATAGAGAAGTTGAACAGATTTTTGTGGTGTGTCTAAATGAGTCGACCACACCAAGTGAAAGGTATTTATATTAATGAAAAGTAAAAGGACAAATCTGTTCGTAGTATACAAGATGAATAATACATAGTGAAAGAATGAAAAAAATATGTACAATAAGAAGAAAAATTACAATATTAACCCTCACTATCCCTATCTCTACAAGCTTTTCCTTTTCTATATGAAGTCTCCATAGACATTTTCCCACCAGAGAAAACTTCTTTCAATATTCCCAATCCTCCTAAAGATTTGCTCTTGCTGACATGTTCCCCACAAACTCTGTGATCTTTTCTCCCCTCACTGGCTCCCACAAAAAAATCTCTCATCATCTTCTCCAGTTTCGGTCACACTTCCGGGGGCCCTAAAGACTGACAAATAATAAACCAGAAGATTAGCAAGGGTAGCTTTGATTAGAGTAATCCTTCTACCTAAAAAATGTAACTCTTCTCCAGTTGGCAAGTCTCTTAGCAAAACTCTCCACCATCAGGTCCCAAAAACTGACACACCTAGGATTATGACCAAGAGGGAGACCAAGATATATAATTGGCCACAGTTCTATCTCACACCCCATAACTATTGAAAACTCCTCCAACTCCCTCTCAGATTACTCTTGCATTGCAACTCTTGTCAAAATTGACCTTGTCAAGATTTGGCACGTGTTTGAAGAGTTGAATTACAACTTTCAATTTTTTAGCCTAGTTCATATCATCCCCTTCACAAAAAAAGTGTCATCCGCAAATTGTAAATGAGTAACTGGCACTTTCTCCCTACCTATTCTCTAGCCTCCCACTAGATTTCTCGAATCAGCCCTAGTAACTATTCTACTTAGAGCTTTAGCAATGAGTATGAACAAGAATGGTGACAAAGGTTCCCCCTACCTGATCCCTCTGAAGGCTTGAAAAAAAATCCACCACTCTTCCATTGACTAGAATTGAATGATGACAAGTTGATGAACATCCCATCACCCACTTGCACAATCTATCCCTGAATCCACAGAACCTCCAACAAAAATGACCAATCCACTAAATCATAAGCTTCTCCAAATCTAATTTGCAGATAAAGCCCTTCTTACCCTTCCTTCTCATCTCTTCCACACATTTATTTGCAACTAAGATTTGGTCTATGATTTGCCTATTCTACACAAAAGCCCCTTGGTTAAGGGAGATTAAATGTGGGAGAACTTTCTTAATCCTCAAAGAGAGCATCTTAGCAATGATCTTATATAAGCTATGTACCAAACTGATAGGTTTGAAACCGGAACATGTTTCCCAACCACGGATCTTAATGATATGATGGTTTTTCCTATTTAAATCAATAATTCTGTGATTAAGTGCAGAAAAACTTGAATATGCAGAATATCAAAATAAGTGGGACCAGGAAGATTATAGGTGGATGATCCTGATGTTTTCCTCAAATTCATTGTCACAATTTGGCACAAACTGGCTGCTTCTTGGGAGGAGGAGGAATATATATTCAAACTAGAGTCAGTTATCAAGGCATTATTTGTCCTTATCATCAATGGAGAAAGAAGTATGAATGGATCATATGGTAGATTGGCTGAAGCTGAAATGTGAGAAACCCCTAGGCCATGCCTTTTTTTTTGGGTTTGTCAACTCCATTCAGTGGATACTCTGATTGATGAGTAAAAATTGTAATCTGAAATAAAAGATATGAACAATTGATTTTACCTGTTCTCCTTATCTCAGGAACCAAAGGGAAATATGCCAATATTTCTGGAAGGAGTTGTTTGAGAAATAACCAGTGGCAAGGTTTAAAAACATGTTGATACGATAATTTACACAAAGGGTAAGATAAACAGTAATATAGTTTATTCTATTCTTTTCATTAGTTGAATTGATATATCTTTTTTCATGTTTTGATTTTTTTTCTTTGATAAATAATGAAACCATAAAAGTATGTATGAGATGCTCCAAGTTGAGAATGCTGATGGTTTTCCATTCAGTATTATATCAGATAATTTGGACTGTTTAGGTTTTTTTAGAATCATTAAGCATTCGAGGTTATAGTCATGTTCATACAATAGGAGGTGCAACCGAAAGTTGTATTATTGAAATTTTAGGGTCTTATTTGGATACGAGTGTAGAAGGTTTATGGGGCTGCCTTACTGTAAGCAGCAAAAATATCATTCCTGGTTTTATAAAAGCCAAGGAATAATTTGGTATATGATGTCAACAGAAGAGGAAATGGAAAGAGTAAATCCTGAAGCAGAGCCACTGGCGCTCTGCCACAGTATAGACACTTATTGGGCTCTCCATGTACAACCAGTTCAAGTATGCTGACTAGTTCTGCTAGTAGGAGTATTTTGAAGATGTACTATTGACACCTAAACATGCATTCATTTATCCAAGAAGAAATTTTTGTGTGGGAAAAAAGGATGTGGAATTGCATACACCTAATTAGTAGGGAAATTGAGAACTACATGTACAAACTAAAAGACCATTTGGCAACTATATTCATGAGGCAGTGGAAATTTAGAGCACGTAATTTCCACTTGTGAAGCCATAAATGTGTGCCATGGCTTGCAACTTATTGTTTGAATTGTTTTCAGTTTCCGAGATTGCAAGATTTCTCAAATCTTGAGAAAGTGTAAAACTATTAACTATAATCTTTTTATCACCTGTTAAACTAGATTATCATGCTTAGATCAAGGTATTTCTTCAACACTGTCCAGTGCAGGTCAGACATGACAGACAGACATAAACACGTAACTTGTCCAAGCTAGATAAGGATGACGCCAAGGGCTTCTGTTCTGCTGGATGTAATGCCCCTGTTTTACTTGGCAAATAGGGGATGAAAAGAGAGTAAAAGAAGAAAAGCATCTCCCTTGGTTCTGTAAAGAGCAGACAGAGACACTTGTGCTAATTGCATCTTACATCTTTGATCAACATCCTCCACCAAAATCACATCTCACATGCCCCACTAAAATCAATTTTTTTAGTCTCAAGTGCACTGAGCGACTCCAAAACTGACTTTGTTCTTCCATCAGCTGCTTTCACTTTTTTGTTGTTTGCTTGGGCAAATGATTCCAAGGTCTTGGATTTGGCATATACTTGTACTGATGCTTTAACCGGTCTATGAGATCTAGTGTTGGTATGTAACACTGTAGAAGTTTGAAGTTTCTACTGCTAACTCTTTACAAAGTCTTCGATTCTATAGATACATCTCTTGATGGTTTGACTTGGCTTTTACAAGACCCACTCGTTGTGTAAACATGTCATTACTTTCTACTTCCATATACTATCTGCATTTGGGTGTGAAGTGCAGATATTTCGTGATTTCTTGCATAAGGAGTATGGTGGCCCAGGAACCCTCCTTGTGGAACCTTTCACAGACATGTTGGTTGCTCTCAGGGAGAAGAAGCTGCCAGGAGCACCCGTGGCTGCACGAGCAGCTATCTTATGGGCTCAAAACTATGTTGATAAGGACTGGGAGCTATGGAACTGCAAACCACCCAAATGATTGTACAATTTATACTCGTTTCATACATGTTGGAATATAATCAATGCTGTTACAAGTTTGTGAATTCTGCTTTATCAAAGATTCCAAGGGGAGAGAATTATCAACATATGGTAAAGCAAGATCTAATTTCATTCCAGAATAATAGTGTGATTACAACAGCATTGGGATGCGTGAGCTCTTTTTCTTGGGTATACAAGAGGTGTATTACTTTTGAACCAGTAGGGATGTGGGAGCTGTGTGCTTGGAGGTAGTTTTGGGATCACCTAGCAAGCATACCCACCTCCGTAGACATAACACGCTAATTATTATCCCATGTTTGAGAATACTATCATGATGGACTTGTCTCTGGTTGAGAAGCCCCAATTTCTTTGTTTTTTGATCATTCTGACTATTGTAATAGTTGTGGGGGTTTGTTGAAACATCATCAGATACTGGCTTCAGATATGCTCTGTAACGAAGGACGCCATGGTCTTGACCTTGAAGAAGTGGATGGCATCGACATTGTCCTGGGTTGATGTCTTTCATGTCTCGACACCTGAAATATTTTAACATGATTTTACAATTAGCATAGATGAACAGAACCGGGTAGCTTTATTTGTAATCAGTTTTAGCTGATAGCTGATATGTTTCTCCATTTTCTGAGGAAACATTTGGCGTTAATACATGCCGTGTGAAGGGAGCAAACATTTCCATTTCCTGAGGAAATCTTGGCGCTAATGCATTATGCATGCGTGTGTAAGAATGAAGAGACCAAACTTCTGAATATATTCCAGTTAATAAAAAGCCCAATTTTCTTCTCAAGAAAATAGCTTAACAAGTACACATTATTTAGGTTTTTGTCCTGGATTATAGACTTCGGAAGTTTCTTTCTATTTTGTATTAATTCATGCAGCATCTGAGTAGTACGGAAGAGTATCTCGGAAAAAAAGACAAAAAGAGAAAAAGAGAAGGGAAGGGAAATTGCTTGTGTTGTGGTGTTTTGGATCTGTAGAGGCAGAGAGATGTGCAGTGCTGTATGGATTACTTGGTCCTATGAACTCTAAATATGCAAACATTTGGAACACCGGCTAAAATCCCGACTGAGGGTTGCCAATAATGGAAAAATGAGTTTCACCTGGTTCGTTTTCTCTAAATCAGGCATTCTTCCTTGTACTTCACTTCCTGAAGTCTGCTTGTCAGTCATTCTTAGTGGTCTTTCAATGGATTCGGCTTGAGTCTTCTTCATCTTTGCATACTTCTTTGCCCAGAGTCCTTTCATGACCTCTGCAACAAAAAAAAAAAGAAGAAGAGAGCAAAGGAATTAAACACTAAATTCAACATTTAGAAATGACAGAGAGAGAATGATAGAAGGAGGCCAACCGCCAAACCTTGAGAGGTGATGAGACGATAGGCTTGGCCAAGAACAAGAGTATCAGTTGGGCGGAGCACCTTGATACGCGTTATTCGAACAGCGTCCTGACGTTTGTCCTCTTCCTCTGGGAGACAGAAAGCGATAATAAGAGCAACATAGTAACCTGGGTTCAATCTCATGATCTCGCTTGCAGTAACAGGCCAATATAACTTCTCCACTCTCCCACCTGGGTGCTGTATTACCAATGTTGCTGCATCTATAGCCTGGCAATTCCCCATCTCTCTGTCTCTCTTCTCTCACTGACTCAAAAGAAGAAAGAAAAAGAACAATAACACCAAGAAGAAGAAGTCTGAGTTGTAAGATTGAAAAGCAACAGTATTATTTGTTTAATTTGGGTAGCAGGAGGTGGTCAGCATCCAGCACATATAATCTGATAATTGGTGTTGATGGTTCATGGCTGTATGCATCAGACAGTGCCGACCTCCCTTCCCAATTAAAAGCCCAAACTTCAAATCAACCAAAAATTTGATCATTCTTACTGTGGTAGAGAGTAGTATGGTTATCACTTTCTAACTACTAGCGTTGATGAGTCTTTAAATGCTCAACCCCAACCCCAACCCCAACCAAGTAGAAAGTTGAAACAAACAAAACTACCCCACCCATATACATATAATATACAATTGCACCATAAACGATGGGTGATGGCTGATGGGCAACAGCATCCCTTGGATATTGCTATGCTCGCCACGCGTCATCATTCCGTAACCACTGATATTGGACGGCATCGGCATGTTAATGACTTATGAGAGAGAGAGAGAGAGACCCTCGTTGCCTATCGATGCGTCAGAGATTCCATAATAAAACCATGACGGTAGCTCTGCTCTGGTGGGTCCCGTCTCACACGCACATTTGACACTCCCCCCACACCTTATCTTCATCTCTCTCTCTCTCGTTAGCGCAGTGCGTTTATCGCGTGAGTCGTATGGCGTTCCGCACTGCGCTTAGTTGCATTCCGTGTGCTGCGTGTATGCGACCGTTAAAACTTAAAAGGGTTGTAATTGTAAAGCTACGCTCTGTTCAAGATTTTAATTATTCCCTTCTCCCCTTCCTTTCTTTTCTTTTATTTTTATTTTTTCCTTCTCTTTTTAAATTGTTGCATACGTACGAGGAATAATCTGGTGTTCCTGTCCTATTTGTGTGTTTGTATTTGATATGAAGTCCCTCTTCTCTTTACTCAGTTTACTGTGTCTGTGTGAGGATGAATGGTATATGAACAACCCATAAAATAAATTGCGACATAATTAGGTCCCACCATTTCGGATTCCAATCTGGCGTTGTTAGATAAAAAGTGCTCCATCCTGTGATGGACTACTCATCGAATCGAAATTCTCATATCACCAGACTGACCAGAGCGAGAGGGCCCCATAACCATTAGACCTGCCCTGCCCCACCGTATCGTCCTTGTAAATTGTAATCTCCAGAGAATCCTTTGTCGTTTTCTATAGATTCCCACTATATGTTTTGTATACGGTTTTATACACCTTACATTTTTTCCCTGCTCGTTAATTAATAATTAATTAATCGCTGGTTGAAATTTAATATTTAAAACAAATCTCTAAACACCTCTTGCTTCCAGAACTTTAATTAAATTAAATTGTTACCAAACAAAACAACCAATATCTTATCAATTAATTTTTAAACCACAAGCGCCGGGATTGATTTCTTTCTTTCTATTTTTTCTTTAAGATTTGCGTAAAAGTTTCGAACTCCAATGAATTGCAAAATTAAACAACTAAAATATCATAAGGACGCTCTTCTAAAAACATAAGCAACTTCTCCTTTAGCAGGATTTTATAAAAATTTGATCAGTCTTCCACTTTGCACATTGATGTGGAACAGATCATGGGAATCTCTATTCTGACCAAGATAACTTAAAAAAAATATATATATATTGGATCCATTTAGTTTGGTTTAAGGTCAGAATCCAAATCAAAATCTTTCAGAATTTGAAATCTGAATGGTTTATCATCATAATATGTTTGATTTAGATAGAAATCAGAATGAAAATTGAAATCAATTAGAATGAGATTTCATTATCAAGGAAGAGGGAGGAAATGACCATTCCCTCAAACGGAATGAGGTTCTGATTCCGCCCAATCAAACAATTTTCAAGGAATCATTCAATCTATCAGGTTTCAAGTACAGACAATCGCTTGTTCATTCATACATTTATTAAAATTTAATTAATTACAATAATGACAGCAAGGATAAAACACTAGATCACTTGATCGAATTAAGAACCATTTAACGTTTTAACCTAAAAGCTTAAGTTCTTAGATGAGGGTCTGAATGGGTTTTATTCTCTAACAAAATTTTTCATTATTTGCCAAGTTGATCATGATTTTTAGTCCTTGTCTTAACAACAATCGGACCGTCAAGACTGATGAGATCAGTTCAGGGTCGCAGTAGACAAACCGGTAGTTACTGGGTTGTCTGCAGGTTGAGTCTTGTCTGCATCTGCAACAGAGAGGCCCACCCCCCATGAAATGCTAGCTAGACAAACGGAATTTCCTTGTTCATCTCCATTCTTTATGTTTATCGTTGGATTATGCGCAAAGCTGGATTGATTACTTGAGTACGAAGAGTGATCTAGCTGATCCCGAAGATCTTTGACTCCTGTAAATCTGCTGTTCACTCGATGCAGTTTGGCTGTATTATTGAATTTTATTTTGGTTCTGATTCACGAGTAAAACTTCCGCCCATAAATGTCGGTCTACGTAGCCATGTGAAAATGCTGGACATCTTTGGGTTAACAGGTTGAAATATCAAGGGAGGGATTGAGGGGAGATGACTCCCATTAATATTAAATGAATGTTCTCTTAAACTCTTCCCAGTAATATTTAACCAAAGACGTTATTTTTCAATGGTTGGAATTCACAAGTGGCTAGTATTCCACTCCTTTTGTTCATTAATTGTAGCACTGTGCCCTGAGGGGGCAACATTTCTTGGCCCCAACCCCAATTGTCAATTTCTTGGCTTTAGCATTCTCATCAAACCCCCACCAAACAACATGGCTTTTTTTTTTTTTTTTCTTTTTGGTTTTTCTCTTGTGGGGTGTGCTAATTTGATGTGATCTTGTTGAGGAAGATAACATTCTTCCCTTTAAAATAAAAACCACAAAGTTAGGTGATTTTCTTAGGATGTTAGGGTTCCAATTAGTCAGTCCTGGTCATGGACTATGATGAGTGATGACGACTATGATGATGGCCAACCCCAAATGAACATTTGAATCGACCACAAATGAAAGAGAAATAAGGCACTGATCATAGACCAATATTTATATTAATGAGGAAGATAATGATGGTGATGGTGATATTGATTTATAAATATATTATAAAAAGATTAAAACCCAATTAATGCCTCTTCATTTCAGTTGATCCGTCGTGTCCCACAAGGTCAATGCTCCACAACCTCCACTCTACCTAGATTTATTACAACTCTTAGAATTCTGCATTCTTGACCAAACTGGAATAGCAGCTAGAGAGTATTCTACTATTCTTATGAGAATGGTCTGGTTTCAAGTCAGTTAAGTTAAAAGTTTTCAAGGTGAAGTAGCCTGATGGTTCTGTCTAACTAAAGTAGTTGGTACACAACAGACTCCATTGCTGAGTCTATCACAAATGCTCCATTCTTGTGAGCGCTGATGATTGAATGGGTCAAGGGTTTTTAGCCTTGGACGGTTTGGATGGCTGGGCTACAATTAAATTCAAGAGCTGGCTTGGTCACTCCTTGTTACAGTTTGTTCACCAAACAATTAATTGTTGCAGTCTACAATGGTACCAAGTGGGTGGAGTGGGGGTAGATTTCTTTGTTTTCTTTTTTCAGTTTCTTTCTTTCCCTTTTCTCTAGTAACACTTTTGGGTTTTGGCACACATTTGCTGACCTAAAATTAATGAACGGCAGATCCATGACTTCTTCTTTATGCAATGACAATGGGGCTTTCTGAGTTTCTGTCTCTTATTTTCTACATACCAAATTAATCAAACACAGCCTTAAAACCATTTTTAAGCAACAATGAATGATCAAGACTCTAGAGCCTGTTTGGTTTACAGGAGTAAGGTTTTGGAACTGGAATGGAAATGGGTCATTCCAATCCCAACTGTTTGGTTGGATAGAATTAAAATCCCATTCTGAAATATCATTCCCCCTTTGAGGGAATGGTCATTCCCTCCCTCCCCTTTGGAAATGAATTCTCATTCTAACTGATTTCAATCCCCATTCTGATTCTTATTTGAACCAAATAGACTATGGGAATAGATCATTCTGATTCTGATTTCGATTATGAAGGATTTCGAGTCCAATTGAAAACCAAATTTATCCTAACTTTGAAAATTAGAAAGTAATTCATTTTGGCAAAAAATTGAGAGATTCTTAGGTACTAAATCCCGTGATTCCATATAAAATATCCTCATTGTGGAGGTCTTGATTGCTTTGCTTTAGCATATGTAGATAATCTTTAGGGTTGATTACGTTCAAAACTACTCTGTTTCATAGTGTGGTCTGGTCTCATATTAGATTAGAGATACCACTTAACAATTCTATACAGCATGGACTATAGTATTTTGAATCGCATTAAAATGGCAAGTGTAGGGCACCACATACGCACTTTATTAAGTGTAGGGCCTGCAAAAAGACAGCTCGTCATTTGAAATGAATGAATTATGGGTGAAGCCAGTCCACTTTTCAAATAGTAGTTGGTCACAATGAGTTGGCCATTAAGATCATATCACATTCCTCATCCCTTGTGGGGGCTAGCTGCCCCTTTACTAGTCTTTTTTTAGACATAGAAGATAATAGTGGACTACTGAACTAAAGTGTGGCAGAAGCTAGCATTCAGACTTTGGCCTATCCAAGTGATTTCATCAGTTCACCACTCATCTGTTTTCTCTTTCCTTTTTTGGAAGATTGATCCTTCACACAGCTAAGGCTCTTTCAATTTATTGAAATGGTTTGCTATAAATCAATTCCCTTCAATACAATAGAAGAGGTAGATAGAGGGAAATTATCTGCTTCTCATGGATAGTTTAACTTATCTCGGTGCAATATGATATGATAAAATCATGGAAGGCTTATCTTAATGCATTCCCTGGAAGTTAATTTGCAAAATAATCCCAAATCAAATAATTAAAAGAAGCCATCTAATTAAGCATGATTTTTTTTT